ACTGTCAGTAGAGAAATCAAGTTGGATAAATCACGAATTTCTGCACCAAACTGATCGAAGTGACAATAGGAGAAATCTCACCAAATTCAATCAGATAGTAATTCCGGACAGATTATTTAGACTGCTGATGAGTGTTTATTTGGTGTTGCGTTGTTCTTATGTTCTAATGTGTTGAATCAAATTAGGTGATACGTCAGAGAGTGATTGTATCCCTCATGGATGTTTCCTGCCACCATGAAATGCGTCACATTGTTTGATAATCGAAATTTGTGTTTCATGTTATATTTGTAAATCTCACAAAATATTTGGAATCATTGTTATGATTACTAGGTGAATCACTTGATGAATCAGGAGGTTATGAAGTCATATGATTGGTTAGTTGATAATGCATATAAATGAAAGCAAGTAGTTAGGTGTATGGATTGAGAATAAATGAATCAAATAATTCAACATACATTCATGAATAGTACAGTGGCTAGACAGTGATCATTAGGTAAAACGAATGTGGCTGAGTAGTGGTTTTGATTTGATTCTTTTACTGTTAGGAAATTCTGTCGAGTGTGTTCGACGAGATGTTTGATATCCAGAATGTGATATGAACAGTAATATCCATTCCACATCAATGTACATGTTTCACTGGTGATTATCTTGATGGATATCGTGCTTTTGTCGTAGGCTTCAGTTCGTGTTTGAGTATTAGCAGCACTACAGGAAGATGACATATGAGATATTAGGTATGATCTCTTCATGGATCAAATACTAAAAGGGAATTGACTGTCGTAATAGAATATATATTGGTAATCTCGTGGTATCGAATTCTTACGGAGATCGTGGCAAATCGTACAAGCGGGACTACGTGTCTTAAACGAAGGCTTGCAAGATCACAGTTGACGGAAAAATGTATGGTTTTAGTACAGTTTAGCAAACAGGTACAGTATTACCGGTGGTATCTTCATTGGTGAGCCCGACGTGATCTGGTACACCAACTTGCAAACTGTGAGTCTGTTCCTTTTTGGGATTTTATATATCATTGCCTTATTTCAATTTTTCATACATCGTGATTTTGGATATACATATATTATTCACTCTTTCATTCCCGTACTTCATATTTCACATTGACTGAATAGACACTCAAGGTACCTAAGCTAAAGATTATGCCCCCAACTTCGTTCCAACTGATGCCCTTCTGACCAAACAACATCGCTGCCTGGTTCTGATACGCAGAAGCCGACTTCTACGCGCACGGCGTAAGCGACACACGTGCACAATTCCTCAAAGTAGTCAGGGCACTACCACGTGAATTCAGCAGGTACTTAACACTTGGTATGTTTGCTAGTGATGTTTCTGAGTCCTACAAAGTACTGAGACGATCTATCCATAAACGCGGAGACCTAACCGATAGACAAAGTTTAGACCAACTTCTTAATAACATCGACTTGCAACACGGTTCTACGACAGACATGTTGCAAAGAATGAGAGAGGTTATCGGCCAAAGAACCTTCGATTATGGCCTATTCAAAAAACCTTTCTTATCCAAACTTCTTCAACAGGTGCAAGCTGTGTGGGTCTCGTTTCAAAACAACGCCTCAGACAAGCTGGCTGCATCTGCCGACTGCATCTTAGAAATCAATAAATCTAATGTCGTGGTTCTTTCAGTCAAATAAAAGCTTCAAACGACCCAGAATGACATTACAGAGTTATGTCATACCTTTACTTGTTATCTTGAATTTCGTAACAACCATAAACGGCCACCCCTCCAGAAGAAGCACTTCATGTAAGCGATCTGTCTCTAGACCACGAGAGACTGATGACTTCCTTGAACAGTTTCCAAGGAATCGACCTTCTTAAACTCGCCCAGCTTCAAGAAGTAGACACTGATCTTCAGCACGAGTTGCCGTCTACAACACTTAAGCTGCGCATCAAACAGGTGGGAACAGGTAAGCAAACCTTACTTTGTGATACATCTACAGGTAGGGATCGCCCAATCGTACCGAAACACTATCGACGCAACGTTTTCAATACGTTGCACAGACTTTCTCATCCAAGTGTTCGTGCAACAATCAAGCTAATAGCAGAACGGTTTTCCTGGCCTGGTATGAATAACGATATGAGGGAGTGGGCACGCTTCTATGTAAGCTGCCAAACATCTAAGGTTATCAGACACAACAAATGTCCCTTAGGCTGTTACGAGAGAACTGCAGACATCTGACTGACTAGAACTTTTTTATTGTACATCAATAATTTTACTGTGTTTTTGGATGTATTTGTTTTACTTAACCTTTGAACTTGTTTGTTTATATCATTCTTTTTGGACATTTTGGTTTCTCTTAGTCACTGGTTTGGTATTTGAGAGTTTTTGCCCCGGGAACCTACAAAATTGAAGGTTTGTTTTGGAATTGTTATGATTATTGTTGTTAGAGCGACATTTGGGTCAACTATTTGTAACTTGTGAATAAACTTTGGTATCTAAATTGGTGTTTGGTTCTATTGTTAATTTGGGTTCGTAAATTGCAAATAGATCGATATACCGTACTTCAATAACGGGAACGACCAAAAACTTGGACGTAACATAGGCTCTTTCAAAACTCCGGACGCTTGTTTTGACCACATCCACCTGGATTCGGTAGGACCTTTACCAGATTCAAATGGATACTCTTATCTCTTAACCTGCCTAGACCGTTTCACTCGATGGCCAGAAGCAGTACCTATCAAGGACATCACTGCTGAAACAGTGGCCTGCGCCTTCGTCGAACGATGGGTAGAAAACTTCGGCTGCTCTTCAACCATCACTACAGACCGCGGACGTCAGTTTGAATCTGAACTTTTCCGTCGTCTGACCACACTTTTAGGAATCACTCGCTTCCGAACGACCGCCTACCACCCACAAGCAAACGGGTTGGTAGGACGTTTTCACTGACAACTAAAAGCTTCGCTGTCAGCTGCAAACGTTTCACAAAAGACCGACGATCTTCCACTCGTCTTACTAGGTATCCGCAATGCAGTGAAAGCTGACATAGGATACTCTGCGGCTCAACTAGTTTGTGGAACGACACTTCTACTTCCAGGAGAATTCGTGGATCCTTCATCCTCTTCAATGAGCATGGATCTAACCTCCTACACGAACAGGCTTACAATCGCAGTGCGTTCTGTTAAACCTGTTTCCACTCGACCGCAATCAACTGATGTTTTCGTTCGACCTAAGTTACGCTATAGTACACACGTTTTCGTTCGTCGAGACTCTCATAGACGACCATTCGAATCAGCATACGAAGGATCTTTCAAAGTTCTTCAACGTGAACCTAAGTACTGTATAATCAATAAGAACGGAATTAACGATAGCATATTCGGAAGGAAATCCTATCCACGTCGATTTTCCTTCGGTACAATCGAACGACAGGGCTCCTACACTTATAATACCTCAACCGACAGCCAACACGCACGATGATACTTCGACAGTATCTGAAAATAAACTTAAAACAACGCGTTCTGGAAGAAGAGTAAGATTTTCAGAACATTTGAACGATTATTGCACGTAAGACGCCAGCCAACATACTGCTTCATCTTGATTTTCCATGGCATTATTTATAATATTAAAAAAATCAATTTTTATATGCTTATATTTATATATATTTATTATTTTGCTAATATGTATGTTAAAAAATTAAAAAAACATTTTGTAAGAATCGATTTTACGCTATCACATGTACATGAGTTTTTTTTCGTTTTTTCGCCCACATTGTGTCTTAAAGTGCGTACGAGTTTATTCCGACATGCACTTACATATTGTTTTTTCTTTTCCAGGCCGGCTGGAAAAGACGATAAAAAGAACGATGAGGTTTACGAGGAACCAAAACTTTTCAATATACATTATTTTTTTTACTATATTGTACTTCATGATCCCTTATAGTAAGGAAGGACGACCAGACGCTGTTAAACCTAGCAAGCTATCAGAAGAGTGTTTACCACCGACAAACTCGTTGGGTTTAGACTTCTAGCTGGCCACGTCTTAGGGTCATCACTACTCCACTAGGGAGGATCTGTAGCGGTAAATAAATCCCCAAAATAAATAGCTCTGTTAGTTTTCGACATTGGTTGCTGACCACATTAGTTTTAATGGACTCACTTAGCTGTAGGCGCTCGGTTATGCATCCGCCCCAGATCACGAGCGGGAACGCCGTGCTCAACACCCCCACTGCAATCACTAGCCAAATTAGATCAAACTATCCACGATATATTGGTAGCCTATCAAATATATCTCCGAACCTCCTCGCTTCTGTCTTTTGATTTCACTTGGTGGGTACGATTCATATTAGAAAGTGTTACTGGTTAAAGCGTTGTCAAACTACGAATACCTGTGGCATCTTCAGTTGTTTCCATAATACCAATCGTTTTCTCTTCATAAAAGTAGGTCATTACACATGAATCACAAATTATTTTCTATTACCGTATTCACATACTGTCCGCTTGTTAGCATGTCACTCCTTTTTATCTCCTTATCATATTTTATGCTTACAATCCAGATTATTTGTTATGATTGCACTGTTAAATGATTTGTAGATCAACAATATATGTTGTCTCTGTAAATGATCGCAGTTTATTCGAGTTGGACGGGAACAGTATGGTTTCTAAGCTTACGTGGAACTCACAACTTCAGCTGAATATCTTAAGTAGATTTTTTTATTATCCAGGTACTATAGTACGTTTACTACCATATACAACGTAAGTTAGCATAGGCTTGGGTAGCAGATGATGACCAGTTGTGCATGGGCCAGCCAAAGCAGAAGAAGAATTAACTGGTTTATACGAGCACTTCTCAATGATATTTCATATCAAACTACATAAATACTTTGAATGTACCTAATTTTAATGATTCAAGCAATAGAAAATAATTGACAATAACGCATTTAAAATCAATACAAAACCGAAAATGGGAGTTCGTTTGGAGAGATTTTGGACTAATTACAATGTTAGATCGTCGCAAACACATTGGATAGTTTGGACAAGGTTGAAGTTCGGCGGAACGTTTGATGTTTCGCGAAACGATCGTAGTCTGGTAATATACTCAACGTATTTATGGGTTTCCGCGGGTGAGATTTAATGCCAGTATTTCGTGCAATTCTTCTGCAAAGTGTCTGCTTTTTTCAGCGCCTTGTTTTTACTTCCGTGAATGACATCTACAAATTGATAAATAGCTTCCTTGATATCCTGTTCACAAATCACTTGTTATAGCTTTGCCCCGTTTCAGTATGCTACAGTTTTCCAGTTGTAAGTAGATGATATTGCTAGAAAACCAGTTTGTGGTCCAGCATTTGTTCATGTTACCGGCCGGAATACAGTGCGATGGTACCTTCATGTGTTGTGTGCAAGTCATATTCTCGTAAACTAAACTCATGTTTATGAATCGAAGTTAAGGTCAACTATCCTTGTAAGTTAGTTTTGCAGATTTATTCATGAAACATTCACATTCACGTGAATTTGGAATGTCTAGTAAAACGCATATTTATATACATCGACTAGAAGAGGAAATGTCGCACTATTTCCACACGGCAGGCTAAAGAGCAGATTTTATGCGCGTTTCTCCCTTATTTTCGTACAGATTGTGCCCTATATTTCACATATGTTTTCCTTTATCTCCCTTCCATTGTTTAGGTGTTTTGGTCGCTGTTATGATCAAGTCAATCATCGAATATACTGATTGCATACTTAGTTCGCATCTAGTTTTGCAATTTATTTGCTGCAAGATGTATAGACAAGGCGAATGCTCTTTCGAATCTCAACTTAAATCTTAGGCTATCAATAGGTCTGAAGTACAGTTGACTCCACGTTTCGTTACTTTTGAATGCACGGAATAAATTTGCTTGTGTGACAGATCTGAGTGTCAGAGTAATAATTCTGTAATTCATCCCTGTTAATTGTTCAGGGCATAGCGATAAGTCTTCTGTCGTTTTATAGAACTCAGGTAATCTACGCTTGTATTATACTTTCAAACATCTTCCAGAATGATTTAGAGTGATTTTACATGCCGTATTCTACCGATCAGCGGATATTGAACAGACATGTAAAAATATACTCCATTAACGATCTTAAATGACTTATCAGTCAACCAATAGTGTTCAGTTATGTAGCGACATATTATCAAACGTAGTAAGTTTTAACGAATTAAGTTTCCACATGATTAATGAATGTTTACATATTGGGTTGTTAGTTATCGTAAGTTGAAAGTGGTTAAGGTTAAGCACTAGGAGAACTAGATAATGTCACTAATTACTATTCAATTGTCGATTACTTTAGAATTGATTGATAATTCTGTCACAAGGTGTCTACTTTCTTTGTTTCGAGTTTGATATCCTTAGACTTGAAGTGCTGTTTGGTGTAATGTAAATATATTTCGATACAAATACTTTCATTCCTACTTTTCCTGCTGAACAAATCACTGCTCACTTTGCAATACGGTTGGGAATGTACGATCCCCAAATGCAATTTATAAAGAAGGCAATTAATATCATTTGAAGGCGAATTTAAGGTGAAGAGTCAACCTTCAACATGTTGTTATCATATTACTTTGTGGAATTTAAGTCCTTTTTCACAGTGACTTGTGTTTAATAACAGTAATTAAGTTCATTAAATGTAATCGTCGCAACCTATTGAGTGAAACGTATTTTTAATCCTACTACGGTCATAATCAACTAACCTTCCATTTTGAAACCAAACTTTTCACTCTATTTTGATGGGTCTGGCGAGAAAGGAGTGAAAGTAATCTCGTTCACTGTACCAAATCCACAGTTGCGAAATACTAGTTTATTGCACAAATTTAGTAAAAACTTTTCATTCCTTTTGATTTTTCACTCTGCAAGTGTATCACTGAAGATTACTGTAGTTTCACTGACACACATTTCCATGTATGCCATGTTCTTGTGGTCAATCACGTGAATAATGTTTCTTTTTTATAGTGGGAGGTTACTAGTAAATTTGATTTGAATGAAAAGGAAGCATACAGAAAAATCTGCTTACGTGTCAGCACCAGTAATGCCAACCAGTGTACAAGAAGATCTTAGTGATGTGAGCGATGATTTTGAAGATACATACAATACAGAAGTAGCTAATATTCAGACTCAGTTAGATCAATTGGATAACAAAACTCATCCAGGTAATTCAAATATTCTTTTTGTATATAACTGGGATATGATCGATAGAATTTGTGAAAATTCGTGAAGAAATCGAAACTTGGTATTCGGAACAAAAACAACGTATTCAAATTCTACATGAACACAAAGTAAGCATAAAAGATTTTATTTTGCTGCTTCAACATCATCATTTATAAGTTATGGCACACACTATAGATAAAAAAATTTGCTTCAAGCTAACAACCTTGATTGTCATTTCTCGTTGTGTATCAATAGACAGGTTAGGAGGTTTAGTTGGAATCAGCCAAATTAATTATACCAACAACTACATAACCATCCAATGTGTGGGAAGTGTTATTCATTATTAGAGGAACAGTCTACATCTATGTTTAAGCAAAAGTTGTTTATATGGTTATTTGGAAGTTATTGGTCGGTGGCTTAGTGGTTAAGTTGCTAGACTATTTGTGATGAAGTTATGGATTCACATTCCACTTTATCTGCTTTAGTCTGAACATCCAGATTGTATCCCTTGCTGTTACACAGGTTAAGACTTTAGAGTTTGCGCTAATCACAATTTGTTTCTGATCAGTTCTTGATGATCATCTCTAATGAGATAGCTGTTGTTTCCATTGAAATTCGTGGGTTAATTTCGGCTAATCACTAAGCGATATTAGTTTTTGGTGAGAGTTTAGAGTCATACCATGTTTGTTTACACAACTGATGCTTATAGCTCCGAAATAAGCTTATAATACAGAATGGTAGATAGTTTGTGATTAAAACTTATCACCAGAATGTGCACATGTTATGATCTCCCGTATTAAGACCCATCTACTGTTGTTGCTTAGTATTCTCCGGACACTATTTAACTCGACAAGTCTTGAAATGAAAACACAGTTGAGAAGTAACGTAATTATGTTCCAAATATACAAGGTTGAATGAAAGTAGGGATCACAACAAGAAAAAATTTAGTATATTTATAATTTTACACAAAAAGATAAAGTCTCTTCCAGGTATTCATCGGCTCTAATTATCTAAGAAGTGGCCAGTCAGCGTGCCCCAACGTATTCCTGCACGAAACATGCATTAATCCAACCTGTATCCCGCTAGCAACACCATTGGAAGTCTAGTCTAATATACAAAATTTTTAACTCTAAAGAATTAAGTGGGAACTTTTTAAAGACCGATTCAGGGAGTGGCTCTCCAAGGAAATCACGTTCAGTTTAAACAACCAAGCAGTATCCAAGTCCACTCACAAATCCAATGTGTTAGGGATGCTGAGGAATATACTAATCATTATCGTGTTAAGTCTAATGATGTCCTTGGACTCGAAATGGGCATTCCCTATTTATTTCACTCGTTAAATATTGTACAGATGTTGTTTTCTATTTCTATGGTACGATTTGGTCTGTTTGGTTGGTATATAAACAGAGTATGTTTGAAATATAACGATTCATATCTCAGAGGCTAAGACTTGCGTTCTAGACTCAACTGGCTGGGCTAGACAGGGAAGCGGGACCAATCAGGACTCTAGGCCGTTCATTACGTGTTTACGTGCCACTAAATCGATCGATATAAACGCTGCTTATCAAAACCTGCAGTCACCCGTTACAACACAATGATGTATGTTCTGCATATATATTTTGGTGCCCATTCGCACCAAAATGTGTTCAAATAAACAAAGTTAACTTACTCAATTCAGCCAGAATGATGCATTGATTTCATTACTGAGAGTGTGGTTTACAATAAGCTAATTTTACGTAGGAGAGACATTGTTCAATAAATTATTAGTTAAGTATAAGTAACATAGTTATTATACGCTAATCCCACACAATTTAACAGAGGCAGAGTTAGAGTTCAGTGAATTTTGATTCGATGATCTAAAAGTATTATACCTAAAGGCTCTTGGTTCAATTCTGCATGTATCGAAAATGTGTATTTTTTGACCAATTTAAAAAGCATGATGAAGCAACCAATATAGTTACTTTTAGTTTTTCAATTGATGAAGATTATGTAATATCATATCACTGCATTTAACGGACAAAATTAAGATCAGATAGTTTTCTTGTTGTTGATCATATCACATTTCTTTCACCTTATTTTACTTCCTTTAAATAATTACTCTATTAACAGTTAGATACTATTTATCGTGAGTATACAAAAGAAGCTGAAGCATGTGATCGGGATTGTGAGGTAGGTCATCTCTTTTTGAACTGAATGGATCCTTTTATATATGTCTTCTTCCTTTCGCCTCCTTATTTCCCTCTCTCTCTCTCCATAAACAATATCAGCATGAGAAACGACGAATTCAAGCTTATTTAGTATCATTATGTGAAGAACTGAAACGACGTTTGGAACATGATAAGAGAAGCATTGAATTGACTCCAAGTGGAGGTTAGTTGGTCGTATTCAGACAGCTTTATTTTCCTTTAATTTTTCGCCGGATTACATAATTCGTTAATAATGTCTGTTTTTATTCTGCTATGGATCTTGATCGGGTACTATATTGTATAATAATAATAATAATAACAATAATAATAATAATAGTTGAGAGGAAGATTTAAACGTAATCGCTTGATTATTCCTATGTGTTAGTAATATGTGTTTTATTTGCATCACCTGAAATCATGAAGCAACGGAATGCTGAAGTTAAGCAGTGTTATGAACAAAAATAATAAATTAGTTAATGAGGTTTTGGATCTTAATCCAATAAGGTGGTTTAGAAATACATTATTTATGCTCAAAGTGGTATGTTGGATGCTTACTTGTAAGGCTTGCAACCTGGTTCTGAGAGCTATCTTTATTTCGTTGAGCTTTATCAGTATCAGTATCTTGAAGGAAGGCTATATTAAACCTTTGTAATGCTATTTGTCCAGTCTTTATTTAACTTCAGTTTCATCTTGCGAACCACCAGGTGGTGATATGAAGCTGTCAGCTCCTCTCTTTGCTCTCACGTTTTCCATTGACTTTATGAATTCATTAGTGATGCAAACATAATTAATCTGGTTCTCTTTAGTGTGATCCGGTGAAAACCATGTAGCTCTGTGCGTATGTTTGTGGGGGAATATAGTGCAATTTATAACTGTTTTGTTGAATGCACATAGATTTGCAAATCTCTCAATTTTCATTCCTTCCTACCAGTCCGTGTCGTTCCATGATATCTTCATACCCGGTATTGTCCATTCCGACTTTTGCGTTTAGATTTTTCATCAGGACTGTCAGATCGTCTCTTGAGCACTTCTCTACGATCCACTCCAGCCTCCCATAAAACTGATCTCTGTTGTCTTCATTGCGATCATTGGCAAGTGCATAGCACTGGATAACACTCATTGTGAGTTCTATGTTGGATAGAGTAGAAGTAATTTCTAAGAGGACCAGTAGAGTCAGACCAAAACATGGTATCAGTCCATGAAAACATTGACTGTAGGTGTAGACGACCTGGTTGATATTCTGGTAATAACTACTACCAGTGGTTGGAGATGTTGAGTAACGTGGATCCGAATTGGTCATATTGGCTTAAACGTATTCACTATTCATCTTTCTCTAGATCTTCAGTTCAATTATTTTTTCACACATGCTTTTTATTCTGTCCTACTGAATCATATTCACTGTTATTGCTACTAGTTTTCAGTTTCTAAAAGTCATATTCCTCAACCACTGAACCACTGCTCCAATATCGTAGATATATCTTGTGGATATATTTCCAACATCTTATTTATTAATTGGAAATCCGATGTGTGTACTTCAACATGTAATTGTAATGATTTACGTAGCATAGTTTGCAAACTCATTTCTAAGGAACATTTTTCATGTGTGAGTGATACTACTGAACTACCTAAACCATGTTATATTCAGTGAGGTTCAAACCTACGGCTTATCAGTTTAAATCAAGTTCACTAGTCATTATTCCACCATTTCACACACTTCCATGTTAATTCAGCTAGCTTTCAATCTGTGCTAGATCCTAGAACGCAGGCCATTCTTATTGGCCCAGTGTTCTAGAAATACCCCTGCCAAGCAGTGGGTAAAGGAAACAGGCACTTCATTCGGTTTCAAATTCATTAGTTTGAAATCAATAAGTCTCTACTTCAAATTTCTTTTTCATTAGCCAAAATGGCAGTAATATGTATACCTAAATTTTGATTTTTTCGTGTCTCAGTGTCGTGAATTATCATCCATTCAATTTCTGATGGAAGTGTGTTATCCAATTAATAATTTTTAGATATTCTTGAATTTAAACCTGCTATAACTCGGAAGTTGAGAAGACGCGCTATAGGTGGGGTTGGTAGTGGTGTTAGCGTCGGCTCGGGGGGCGGAAATGATGTTTCCGCTTCAAATCCAGCTAATTTCATGTATTGGGGTGACTTACTTCTTTGTGGTTCACATTGGCCAGTGAATTCGAACTTGAGTACAAGATTACAGAAACCCAATTCAAATGATTCATACAGTTCTAGTGCTATTGCAAATAGCAATGATGAAAATACCGATCCAATCCAATCGTCATCAAATTTAGAGAATGAACCTAAAGAGAATGCTTTAAGTGATGTAACGGGAATTTCATGTAGTAATACGACGTCATCAGTATTCCAGTCGACCGCATTATCGTCATCATTATCAATAACGTCGGCACTAACCACAACAGCGACGATGCCTACTACAACTTCCATAACTAGCACCACGTTCAATTCAACTTCTAGGTCAAACATATTTGGTACTTTAGGTTTAAACCCCTTTGATGGAAGTTTGTTATCACATTTATTAGCTTCCATGAATAACAACACATCATTGACAAATTTCTATACGAACCCTTCATATTGTATATCAAACACACCAGACAACATAAATAATGTCGGTGACTTTTTAACTAATGGAGGTGTAGCAGTGAATTCATCGTGTAATTCTACTGCAGTAGCTGTGGCAGCTGTTGCAGCTGGTCTTATTATGCCATCAAATGGTACTGGAACCATTGGTTTATCAAATAACATCAGACTCTCTCCAGCTACTGCACTTGGTTGTGGTCTAGTACCACTTCTAAATAATACTAATAACAATCATATTCATTCTTCATCAACGTCTATTCGTAAAAGACGTCATCAGAATACTGCACCTAGTGCACAATTAAATCTTTTATTACCGGAACATGAGATTTATGCAGATTTGACAATTATTCATAGGTAAGATACTATGATAAAATTTCACAGATATCTATGGTATATAGTAATATTTTTATTTATTTATTTATTTATTTAAACACATAAATATTGGTACAGGAGGGCACCAAATATATATGCGCCACACAAAACAATGAGAATTTGCAGAGAAGGAAAAAAAAGGTAAGGAGTGTAAAAAGAAACAAACGATAACGAACAGATTAGTGTAAGGTAGTGTAATAATAATAATGGGGGAAACAGAAACGTACACTCAGAAGAGATCTTTCAGTTAAGGAAGAAGCAACCACTTTTTATGAAGAAAGTAAAAGCTTACAACAGGATCGCCACTGGCTTCTATTCTGAGCCATATCTGATAACGTCTCTACTCGAGAACGTTTAGATACAACCGGATTTCCACCATAGACGAGCTGCTGTATAAGTCAAAAAATAAGGATAGACAGAGTAGGAATAAAAGAGAGTGAATAAATGACGTAGTAAATAATAACAATAATAATAATAATAATGTGAATCGTTTGATTAATAGTTGAAGCAAGAAAAGTATTTTCCATAATTATCGACAGTTCATCATATTTGTGTGCAGGCTGTGATACTGCTCGGATGCCCAGACCGAAGCAGGTGGTTATCCTAGGGGACCACACCCCGAGCCTTCGACCTGAAGGTCTGACCCACAAGGCAGTGGAGCATCGTGAGGAGATGCAGTCCCATGGTAGTCGGTGACCAACGATTGGTTCATACGCCATTTGTTCCCGCAGGATACTGGAGCCCATGTGCACCATTGATTTGGAATCCGATTAAAGCGCCAGACATTCGCTTTTCGTCCTCTCATTTTCGTAAACAACACCCTCGCCACGAGAAGGCAGTGAGTAGGACTTCCCTGGCAGAGGCTGTATACGCGTGGCCGTGTGAGAGCATTTCGAGAGGGAGGGCGGGCCCACCCCACTCTCGACCATACCAGGGCATTTGGGGGCATATATATAACCCATTTTGATTATTACAAATTTAGGGAAAAGTATTTTTGACGTGTTAGGTCTAAGTTTTGCATGGCTTGACAACTCTTTTCGTCATTGAATATATATAGAGTTATGATGGTTGAATGGTATTTGCTCACAAGACCGGATTATCAATGTAAATTTTCGAATCATTTGAAATGTAAGGCATGACCATTCACTAAAAATGTAGATTACTTATGTGATAAAGCTAGATGTTCGTACATAAGCTGTTCGCACAAAGTTAACATGATATATTGTTATAGACGATTGAAGGGAATTAGTTTCTAGATCACTGACTCTGTACAGTCAATTAAGACCTGATTTTTAGACATCTTGTTAATTGTGTTTTAATTATTACATGTTACTTCATAAAAGTGACAAGGTAAATATATGAACCTCCTAAATGGTACTATTTAAGTTTCCCTGTAATTAGATTCCCAATACATTATAAACATTATGTGACATCATTAATGAATTAATCAATTCATGCTATAATTGGAATCTCCAAATGTTATGATAAATACATTAGTTACTTACTATAATAACCTTTTGCAAGTTTCTGACATTTCAATCCACTATGATGTAATTGTAATCAGTATTCAATTTAAGGAGAAATCGTGAAGACAAACATAAGTTATTTCATTTACTTGTCAGTGTACATACTTTTTGATTAACTTTAAACTTTACTAATGTGGTTACTTTATCCTTCAACTGCCCTAATGTGATTGAGACAGGAGGTAGTCCGCTCTTTTACTCAAAACACTGTCATACCGTGTCGTGTCTATAGCGTCTGTCAGGGGTGTCTTACTCATTACCTTCACGCAGCGCTGTTGTTTAAAAGGGTGAGGCTACGAAAAGCGGATGTTTGTGGATATTAGTGGATATGGATAATCCACCTATTGGAGCTGAGAAACTGCTTTCAGATCAGCAGTATACGTGGGTTTTAGGATCATGAGAGCACTCACGATGTATAAACCTATTTTACGTCAATGACCACTATGAAACATCATGTCCTTAATTTAGATATTGCCTTTTTTTGTGTGATCATCTCTTTAAGAAAACCACTTGCTTAGATTTCGGTATCTGCTCAATATCTTAACCCTCACACATATTATATTGTTTGACACAGTCTACTTTTGGTTCCCAGTTAGATCAGATTTCGTTTGAATTAAACAAAGAACAAAACAGCTTGAAGATGTTTGTCATTTGGAGAGAGATAGCTTTTTGTTAACCCAACAAGTAGGTTTTCATGAAGATTTGGAGATTTCACATTGATTTTGGCAGTAACAGTCTACTCGCTAGTAATAAAAAACTCATCTACTAAGTTGTTTTCGGTGTTTACCAAAATAAGTTTAGCTTGGGTTAATTCCATATCAATAAAATTTAATACGATCATAATATGATTCTGTCTTTATCTCTGTTTAATTTTTTTTATCATCTTCATCTTTATTTTCCCCTAAATCATTTTACAACAGAGCTTGTTCGAAAGTTTCAAATATTCCCAATGGAACATCAATGAGTAGCGGTAGTCGTAAGCATTCTTCACATACTACAAGCAACAATTCCAATTATACTCCTAATAATACTTCGAATACATCTCAATTATGCTGTAATAGTCCGTTAAGTCCTTCCTTAGGTAAATGTTATGAAGATAATTGTGGCTCAAGTAGACTGACAAAAGATTCCAATACAACAACTATGAATACACCGTTATTTTCATCTCATTCAATGGGTTCGCCTAATTCATTCAATAGTGCAAGTGTTGGTGACTTGTCAGTAACACGTACAGGTGCACGTACAACTGGTACCGGTCACATTGGAACTAATTCATCCATGAATAACCAGTCAAATACATCGTTTTCTGTATGGATAGACGATGGACGACTTTACTATGGGCATAAATGGTATGATATTTCGGTTCACCGTTTTTCTTTGAAACAGTTTAACTGAGATTATAAAATTGTTTTTTTCCTGAAGCAAATACTGTTACTGTCAAGGGAATTGTTGGTTTACAGGTTTTTGTAGGTGTAATATGTGTTGATCTCTTATTTAAGACATGTAATTTATGATGAGTTATTCTGCTTGAGTTTACCGGAGAAAAGTTTCATAATTTTACTTGACGACTAGTTTTAGACAGACAACCATTACAAAATAACGATCACTAGATAGTTATTTCATATACGACTTCTAATCACTGCGTACCCAAGAAATCGTTACAAATCTAACTCGGAACTTTTATGCCTTATGCTGAGTCATTTGATACTTTCGATTGTGGAATCAAATAATAACGCTGCGTTACACCACCATAAATACTAATAATAACCACAAACTATTGTCATAATTTGATAATTATCTATTTGTTCCAAGGCACAAATAAACAGGATATACGCTAGTTAGTTAGTTCACATGACGAATACACAACCCTTTGATATTAATCATCCACATATGAATAAAAGAGAAAAAATGATGGGAGCTTTTGTGGAAGCCTTTGTATTTTTAAGAAGAGATACATAAATGCAATACAACGATTGTCTTTGTGATGTAACAACAATGATCTTGAAGGCATGTAACAAACTAGACAAGGAAGTAAACAATCGATTAATATAAAATAACAAAGATCTATAGGACAATATCAATTGAAATTTTCTTTTCAAAGGTCTATCTACTCGTTAAAAGTTCAATTTATTCATAAAAGGAAAAGAAATAGGATAATTTGAAGTCTCCTTAATGACCAAGTTTAAGAATTATCCTTGGTGTCTTAATGAAAGCGGTGACCATTGAAGTTTATTTATATCGGAAATGTGACAGGTATCTTAAATGCTAGTAGATAATAGTTGTTGTGTTAGGTGATTTAGTTGACGTTGATAGCACAAACCCTTTGATGACAAGTTAATGGTGTAAAAGTGATTTGCTCAGTATCAGGCCCTCTAAATCATATGCTTGTTTACTCAGAAGACTGTTCAAGGAGTATCCTTACTATAACGAAGCATCTGTTTGGTGACGTTTAGTGTTCAGTGGTTTTCCTTCTAAAATCAGTCAGTTCATAATGTAGAATATCTTTAAAGTGAATACATCTTCACAAGCTTCGATGATTTAGGCGATCTGAAAATATGAGTGCAAAACCCAAGAAACTGCTGTTTAAGCTCTTCTCACAATAGGTGTTTTGTTGGGTTCATTATATACTTTACAAATCCTTCTACCTGTAATGGAATTTCGCATGGCAAGGTTGAGATGTACTGTTTCTGTAACCCTCCCTTCTCTCAACAAATAGGGTAATTAGGAATACCTTATTTTTCATGAGAAACATTTTACTGCAATGATAACCGTGTATTGTCTTCATCAAACTGTTTTCATCTTTAGATGTTGTTACTTACTAATTTTCGTCTTATTACTCTCCAACTAACTTGTGTAGTATTGTACAACTTTAAGAAAACAAATATTTCAAACAAGAGTCCCACAATAGGACGAAACGGCTGTCCAGTGCTTCCAGGTTTTCAATGATGGTCTAACATCAATCAGTTCATGATCTCAATCAAAAACTTAACACTCTCCACAACCCCTAAACTGATGAGTATTAACTTGATTGCTTCGCATCACCAAGTGAACCGTACTATCAAGTCAAATTAATAATTTATGATGAATTCATTATTTTCGTTATGTTAATTTGAAATATGACAACTCGAATTCATGTATGTATATACACACCATGTCTTATTTTGTTTATTTTGCTTAAGACTAAATGATCAATTCATTGACTACTATCATTGCTTTTAGCTTCGTAATATATGTACTAATATTTGCTTTCTATTTGAACATCAAGCTATCAGATTGGTGCTTCAGTTATCTTAGAAGGTCGTGATGGTTCAAGCCATCGATGTACTGGTACAATAGCATCTATTGGTGTTCAAGACATAGCTATACGAAGATGTTCAGATCATGGAATATGTCGTGTAACTGTACAACAATTAAAACAAGGACGATATGCAATATGGCCAAATAAATCTGAATAGAATAACTTCACCATCTCACAAATCATTCTGGGTTTTATTGTAATCAGAAAAAGATTAACTATTGAGAGAACCAATCCTATTGTAAAGTGTAGATTGTTATTAATACTGCACTTTTACAAGTTCCCTATGTGAATATATATACTTGTACATGTACATTTCTATGATCGTCCTTATCATTTGTCAATTCTATCTTTATTCATTATTCCATGTCAACACCCTGTCAATCCTGTCATAATATCATTTCAGAATATAATTTAATCTCTTCTTTTTCGTTACATTTCAATTTTGTACTACTTACTGAATATGTGACTCAATGATAAAGTCAAGTTTTATCTCTACTTTGCTCCCAAATGCCGTGGTACGGCCGAGAGTGGGGAGAGTCGTCTCTCCCTTTCGAAATGCTCTCACATGGCCACGTGCATACAACCACTGTCAGGGAAGTCCTACTCACTGTCTTCTCGCAGCATTACTATTGTTTACGGAATTGAGAAGATGAAAATCGAATGTCTGGTGTTTTAACCGTGTTGGTGGGTATGGACCAGTCGTTGGTGACCGGCTACCATGTGACTGCATCTCATGACGTTGTTCCACTACCTTGTGGACCAGACCTTTAGGTCGAAGACTCTGGGTGTGGCCCCCTTAGACAACCACCTGCTTCGGTTTGAGCACCCGGGCAGTATCCCAGCCCACACACAAATCAAGTGATTGTGTTGCGCATATGTATTTGGTGCCTCCTTGTACCAATGTTTATGTGTTTTAGTCTGGACAAGCAGACGGTCGAAACCAATAGATTTCCACACATTTAAAGTATGCCTTCAAGCTAATGTTCTATTGTGATATAGCTTATGATTGTTTTATTTTCTGAATGATCAGAAATGTTTCATAATAAATGTAGGATCTACTTACTCTAGTCTGTTCGATGAGTAACAGAACAAAAACGGCAAGCTAAAAACAAAAGGAGTCGTCAGTCTAACAGTAGCAAATATCGCGTATGATAATATGGATTAAAAAGTTACAGAGACTTTCAGATGTTTGTTAAAACTATAATTTATTAACACAAGGAAGAGTCTTACTTACACCTGTTACTCCTCGTGGAGGAGCATAGGCCTCCCACCCGCATTCTTTATCCAACTCTGTCCTGGGCAGTCCTTTCCAGTTGTTTCCAGAAGCTATCCACACTTTTGATGTCTGCTTCCGATTCCGAAGCAATGTGTTCTTTGACTTTCCTCTTTTCCGTTTCCCTTCAGGAATCCAAGTTAGCGCTTGTCTCGCGATGCAGTTTGATGATTTCCGTAATGTATTTCCTATTAACATCCATCGTCTTTTCCTAATGGAAGCTGGTTTGTCCTCTCCCGTAGTAGGCTGTTGTTGATGGTATCCGACCAACGGACATTGAGTATCTTGTGTAGACAATTGTTTATAAATACTTGTACCTTTTTGATGATGGTTGTAGTAGCTCTCCAAGTTCCAGCTCCGTACAATAGAACTGTCTTGACGTTGGTATTGAAGATTCTCACTTTGATATTGGTTGACAGTTGTTTCGAGTTCTATATTTTATTCAGTTGTAGGAATGAGACCCTTGCTTTGCCAATCAGCTAAAATCTGAGACGATCCCAACAGCCATTACTATGCGAATTTGTACCTGGTTGACTAGATAGTATTTAGATAATTGAAATAACCCGTCGAGTAATTGTATAAAAATCTTATTTGTCAAGTGGACAATTATATTTCATAATTCTGGCCTGTAAATGATTTTTATCCTCCTATTCTTCTTTAATTGCCTGATTATTATGCAATCCCATCTGATATTTGAAATCTTGTATCACTTTATGTGATGTAATCTTTTCTATCTTATCGAAAACAGTTTTCTGTTGAGAAAATCCAAAATCGAATGAAAGTATTTGGATATTTCAATAGTTGAGATCATGAGTCAATTGAAGCTAGACCACAATGGAAAACCTGAAAGTACTGGACAACCGTTTCGTCCAATTGTGGGATTCTTCAGCAGCACGCATCCACGATCCCGCCTCGCGAGATTCGAACTCAGGACGAATCGGTCTCGTCTCGTGCGCGAACGCTTAATCTCCACACCACTGAGCTGGCTGGCATCCAATGGTGTTAATGTCTAACTTCAAACAATCTACGAAATTGAGCAACACATCCACCATTGTCATCAGTGAGTTACTATCTCACAAATATTTGTGAATAATGCACGACTTTATAGCTCGTTTAGTGTTTATTTTTTGGTTTGTAAACCTGACCGAAGAGATAATTGTTAGATCTCACATTTGTACTAGTTTGATACGTCTCAAGAATTGCTTTACAAAATTGAATTGGTTTTCTCGAGTAAATGTTGATTTCTATTTTACGTGTAAAAGTGAGTAGTATTTGTTGAGTGTGATCACGTAGTGACCTTTATTTTGAGATGTACAGCGTTACTATCTTGTGCATTTTAAAGATGTAATTTGAAGTCCCAGATACATGATCGGAAAGTTATTTGGCTTAGACATTTTAAAACATCGTAATTGTAATCCATAATGAACACTTGGTATGTTGGGCCAATAAGAAATCAGCCAAACGATGAGTGCACTTGACTGACCAAGAAGTTGCTTTTATTTTTAAGGGATGCGATGTACAGCGTTGATGGTCTAATTTTCCAAAGAATGGCTGTTTACTTACTCTGTAATTCATTTACTAGGTACATGACTTTGAGACACTAAGTTCCAGGGCTAGTGAACGGGTTTCAAATTTACGGCTTGAGTCAAACACCCTTGATGATTGAGTTGATCATTATCATTTCAATTACTTACAAGGTTCAGTGATGAAAAAGTGTAGCCCGTATCGTATTTGGCAATTGGGCTTGTGAAGATTGGTCTAACATTTCGTAAAAGTTCACGAATCACCCCAAGTTAGACAAACATTATAAAACCGAAAGCATCGACCAGTTTTATCATTCTATTATCGAACTCCTCAGGAATTCATGTTCACCACTCCAACGAGATTGAATCTTGAACCATGTCTCTCCTCGATTACTTACCATTCAGACCGCTGAATAGACGTCCACTGGTTTATTTGTTTGACTTCAATCAATTTCCAACATTACTCGATTGTGGTCTAAACTTCAACTATTATTCTAATATTATATTGATAACATACAGAGCTTCAATACAAGTTTATACTAGTTTAAATACGACCGACCATATGACCTTAAAAGGTCATTGATGCACATTATTAATGAGCGACTATTAGCATAAAATCTAGGTCTAAATGATAACAATAAGTACCTGAACTTTTGTACTAACAAAGAATTTCCAATATTGTGCTATTTAAGGTAGGTAGAACTGGATGAACACAAATGAACGTATTATATTTGGGATTCGTGATCAGTACGCAATCAAGTACATAGGAATCATTTGTTAATACAAATACCACATCTACCACCTTCGCAGCGGTACAGTACACATAATACAGTGTGTTTAGACGATATTTACTAATTCGGACTGAATGAGTATTTTACGACCACATTTTCACAACTCTGAATGTTTGATTTCCTTGATGTTTATTTGTCTGTCAATATTTTTGCAAGAAAGTGTTAGGTCTGTAGTCTAATGAAATCAATCATATCTACAATACAAAACATTGTTTCGACTTGATTCAAATATATATTACTTATCTACGCCTGTTACCCCAATGGAGAATAGGCCGCTGACCAGCATTCTCCAACCCACTCTGTTTTGGGCCTTCCTTCCTAGTTCTATCCAATTGTTATTCATTCTTATCATATCTATCTCCATTTCCTGGCGTAATGTGTTCTTTGATCTTCCTCTTCTGATTTGGCCTTGAGGATTCCATGTGGGGATTTGCCTTGTGACTCAGTTGGGTGCTTTCCTTGATGTGTATCCTATCCACTTCCAGCGATTCTCACCGATTTCTTCCTCCTCTGGAATGCGGTTTGTTCTCTTCCACAGTAGGTTGTTGGTGATAGTGTCTGGCCAATGGATTCAAAGTATTTTGCGTACACAGCTGTTAAGAAACACTTATATGTTTTAGATGATGACTTTCGTAGTTCTCCAGGTTTCCACCCCATACAGTAGAACTATCTTGACATTTGTATTGAAAATTCTAACTTTGGTGTTGGTTGACAGACAGTTGTTTTGAGTTCCAGATGTTCTTCAATTGTAAATATGCTTCACTTGTTTTGCCGATCCGCGCCTTCACATGTGCATCAGATCCACCGTGTTCATCAATGATTCTACCCAGGTATGTAAAGGTTTATATATATCAGTATGATACTGTTGTTAAGACATGGTTACCTTCAAACTTATAAATCCTTGATAAACCTTTAATACATCATAAACCATTGATTTCAGCTTTAAAAAACTAAGGAGACGAAAATCAATCAAAAGATAAATGCTTTTATAATATGTAAGCATAACCTCGGTTTACAGATGAGCTTTACTACTTACTTAAATATCAGTAGTCTACTGGTGTTTTATTCAGTTTTGAGCATAACAGTATGTATATTCAGTGTCAGAAGGTAGTAACCAACTCAAATCTGATTTGGACAATTTTTAACCAGTTAAAATTACTTACTATCACAAAGATCTGAAAGGATTTGTAACGCACACCCTGAATACCACTACTATCTACAATTGGAATGTACCAAAAAGAAAACAATGTTTAGACGTTAAAATTATTCTTCAATCATTTAGTCATGTTAAGTTACTGATTGTACAATAAGTGAGATACATAATAGTTGTTCATTATTCTAGACAATGTTACAGTGAATTTGAATGTTTAAACTAGGCTCTAATACAAACGGAAAAATAGGCTAATCTTTATTATTACATTTTGTTAAAATACGATAAATTAGATGGTGGTTGGAGGTAGTCGACAGGAAACTTTGGACCCGGGTTTCGTGCTACTTGGCACTCGTCAGCAAGGTGTACCTGTAATCTTGAGGGAACTGGTGCTCCCTGACGGATTCGATCCCGTGTCACCCAGCTTCACAGTCGCCAGTTAGATATTGGCAATTCAGGAATTGACATTTGATTAATGTATATACTTTTAGATGCATATTGCTAGCAAACACAATATCACTGATTTGGCCTTTTGTAACTTGTATACCGAAATGTAATAAACTTTACATAAATGAACCTGAATAGGTTATGAGACTAACAGACATAATGATATGTTAAAGCAAACAAGAAAACAGATAACTTGTTGAAATATTCAAATGACAGGAATAGGTAGACCAGATATTCAGGTAGGTCACACTAAAGATTTACGTTAGCACTCACTCAAATATATATATTTGTGATTG